GTGTTACCTCTACTTCTATAATAGTTGATATAATGTTATTTGCATGTAATAGTACATCTGGAGTTGTGTCGCTGCTGTTTGGCATATTGAATGTTGGAGGAGTTTCCCATTTTTGAAAAGGAGCATTTTCCAGGGATGTATTAAGCTGTCTCTTCTTCATTCTATTGTTGACATTAAAATCTCCGATAATGATAGCATATTTATAGAGACATGCTTTTGTAAAAATGGCCTCTTCAATACGAGCTGATGGATATGTACACTAAAAAAATGTGCAGTTTGTCATCTAGGAAGGGGATTGTGAAGTGTATGCATTCATTTAAATGATTGTTTATGGCTGGAGGATTTGCTCGTCTGGCTATTAGTGGCTGTGTTTGGACTAGAGTACCCCCCTGGTCCGGTTATGTAATTGATTAACATTCAGCTGTATGACCAGTCTCTGTATGATGTGTTTGAGTCATCTTTGGTCTTTGCTTCCACAAACAATGAGCAATCAATACTATTATTCTCAATGTAGTAGCAAATGATGTGTTTTCTATATGAGTAGCTGTTTATGTTGCAATATAGCCGATTAATTATTTTGGACATGAATGTGCTGGATATTATTGTTGACTGGTTCTGTTGGAGAGATGGAGCCTTCAGATTCAAGATCGAAGATAAGTATGTAAACACGGTGACCGGAAAAGACAGCTGTGGTATCTACATTGAAATTGTTTACAAATCTGTTTCTCAATTTTTGAATTAGTTCCTGTCTATTAGTGTTTATCGGGTTGTTCAGTTCATTGACATATGAGTTGATGATAAAGTCGTGAACTGTTAGGGCTTGGCGAATTCTGCAGTTTTTTTCTCGTCTGGTATTTAATGAGATTTTTTGTTGATAGATTTAATTTGTATATAAGGTAAACCTGGTATCAGTGCGGTGGGTCTTATCAGGCATTTAAATGACTATGCTTGATGTTCCTTGGAACCACATCCTGTACATTTCGGTGGTAAGGTGGAGGTACACTGGTTCTCTGGATGTAAACCCTGGCATTTGGGACATTTTGGTTGGGTGTTACAGGTTTCTGTTGAATGAGAGAAGAAAAGGCATTTGTTGCAAGGTTTTGGAGTTGGAGGGGAAAGTTTACTTGCATAAACTGGATAGTATCGAAATTCGTAGTAGAATTCATCTTTCACTAGGGTTTCAAATGTAGTCTGTGATCTACTGATAATTCTTATAAGTGATGTTGGTAATCCGGTTTGTCTGGAGATGATTCTTCTGCAAAATATGTGCTCAAGGTCGTTATTATTCAGATGGTTGCTTATATTTTCTTCGCAGACTTCTCGTTCTATGCCACTTATAACAAGAGAGTAGCTTTCTGTTTGTGAGGCTGATTTGGGGGCTGTAGAATTAGGTTGAGTTTCTCTGAAATTGCTTATCTTCTTGAATAAGACAAGTCTTTCAAGAATATCTGTAACTATCTTCAAATCATTATTTGTTTTGAGAATGAATCCTTTCTGTGTTCTAATTATTTCATCAGTGACCTGAGGAAATAGTTTTTCCCACATGTTGAAGAATGCTATTTTGGAATACCCTGTATCTGCAGCTAGAAAGAAAGTGTGCTAGTATTTTTTTATGGGTAATTTCTTTCATAAATGGTGAGAAGTCTTTGTACTGTTGGTTTTTTGGATTGGAATGAATTCTATTATCTGTTGTTTGTGGAGTTTGAGGGATTGGAATTAGTACAATTGGGTAACCCCAAATAAGTCGTTGGATTTATTCTGGATTTGGATGACTTCTTTTGGAGTCACTTTCTAGATGTCTTCTTGGTTTTTGTTTACACATCACTTTTCTCCATTGTCCATCATCCTGAATTTCCATTTCACTGTAATATTTCTCTATTTCGGTATCCATAGTTGAGTTCTATATAATCACATGTACTAACTAGCAGGAGCAAAATAGGTGTTTACTCTTTGGCTGATAAATGTTAACTTGAGACTTCATTTTTCCAAGAAGAATGTTTTGAATTCAATATTTTTTTGTCAGAGATACCTACTTATAATCAGGCGTAATGAATTGAACTGTACAATTGAGCTGTAACATTAATCCAATTCCAATAAATAGTACAAGTCTACAAACATACATGTTTTCGACTTGTTACTTATTTCAGACTTTGCACTTATAATCCAGATCAGGTTCAATAAAAAAAGTGTAACTTTTCAAACGTATTGTTTTTATTACTTGAATTACAATCTTTCAAATATTCCCAGTGCTCTAACTTTTTATCTATTCTCTCTATCTCTTTATATTTTTCATAGCTAACAAGAACAATAACAACTAAAAAGTAAATAACTATAGGTATAGTATATAAAAAAATTATGTAACATTTTTGTTACATCTAATCTGCAAATCTTTGTTGCTGATCGACGATAGATTCCCAACTTCGTCTTGACGTCTATCATTTTCACTTGGCCATCGCTGCCAGGAAAAACTGCGGATTTAATGCCTTTCAGCCAACAATTTCTAGGCAAATCTTCATTGATTATGATGACTACGTTGTTGACTTGTAGATTTTGAAGTTGCTTATACCACTTCGTTCTTCTCACCACTGAAATATATTCTTTAATCCACCACGTTCGAAAACGATCTGCTAAGAGTTGTGCAAACTTCCATTGTTTTCTGGTAACGACGTCTTCTTTGCTCAGTAGCACTGCACTGGACAATCCAATCAGAAAATGGTAAGGAGTCAGGGCTTCTTAGTCGGTGTGACCTAAAAAAACATGAGTTGCTGGTCTACTATTTACAGAGTGCCCAGCTTCAATGAATAATGTTGAATGAACTTCTTTGGAAAATCGTTTTTTTTCAGTATCAGTCGAAGGGCTATTTTCACGGACTTCACCAGTCTTTCCCAACATCCTCCCATGTGAGGAACTAAGGGGTCTCTGGAATACCTACTGGATCCCTTTTCCATTAATTTCCTTCACCATCTTCTTCTGATCTATCTTTAACAAAAAAAAAATCATTTCTTTAGCTGCACCTCTTAATCAGTTCCATTATCGGAGTGTATATGTTGCGGGCATCCTCTCATTCCCACCAGTTTTCTGATAGCTAAAATTGCAGAATCTTTGGTCGAAGAACTAGCTAATTCTTAATGTACAGCCCTTGTACTTAGATATGTAAATAACACTTCGTAGCGTTTTTCAATAATTCTACGGACAGTGACCACCATAGGACCAAAATAGTCCATTTCTTTCGAAGTGAAAGGGCTCACAAAACTACTGCTAGTCTTACCCTTAAATTTTCACACATTTGCCAAATGTTTCAAGTGCTTCTAACTGCCGCTTGAGCCTTCAAGATTTGAAATTTCTGCCTCACCTCATTCAGAACCTACTCTTCTCCATGATGACCTGCTTTATTATGATAAAACATTGATAATAGTCGGGTAAAAGCAGTTTTGTTGTACTATATGATAGGATATTTAACACAATCGTCAATGTTATTTGTTTCCTATTTTCCATTCTTCATTCTTTTCGAAGATTCTTCCATGATCTGAATGGTTTGCTCCTCATCCTTAGAAAGCTTCTCTTCATAGATGTTAACTTCTAGATTATCCAATTTGAACGACTATTTCATCCGTTCGTACACTTTGTCTACTTCCTGGTTTGTCAAAAAAAAGCATCTTCATATCGTTCATGGAAAAGAGAGTGCTTTACCAAATTATGTAGATCGTCGGATTGATGGCTCATTTGGAAAATAAAATCATTATTAACAAGTCTTCGAAAACAAGCTATATTTCCTTGGATCACCCAGCCCAATTTAGATTGTGATAAAACTTGACTATTTTTTCCACCTTCTCTCACCTCTCGAGCAATTATAAAATCAATGTTATCTGGGCCTATAAGTATTTCTGGTTCAGCATTTGACATCGACCCGATATTTGCCAATGTCAAATACTTCCAACTTTTTGCAAAATTTCTCGAATTCATAGTTTGAGTGGGCCAATTGAAGTTACTTACCGGTCCGAGCATTCTTTATCCAGTGGAGTTCTGTTTCATTTCCTATCGAATCCCGAAATTAACACTTTGAGAGTTGCAATCTTTATTGATTAATGAGTTTGTCCAACGAAGTGGTAATGGTTTTATCGGTCCGCCAATCCCTAACTTTTTTGCCATTCCTTTGTTGAGAAAAGTGGTAGTGGATGCTTCATCAAACAGTGTAAAGGTGTTGATGCCACCTCTAGGTCCATATGAAAAATTCTGTATGATAGAATCTTTCAGGCACTAGTATCCCAGAGAACATTTCAATTTTTTTTCCAACACCTTTTCATCAAAACAAAACGTTTCTTAAAAAATAATCCAAACCTCATAGTTACCAAATCTGATAAAGGCAATGTCACTGTGATACTTGACCGTGACCAGTATATTAACCTTTCTACAAACCTTATTGAAAATTGTGATTCTTATTCACAAGTGACTAAAGATCCCACATTACAAGTTCATCGTAATTGTAATGATTTAATTAAAAAATTATTTGAAGTCAATCAGATTGACGAAATTACAAAAAAAAACGTATTACTAATTATACTGGGACCTTACCCAAATTTTATGCTTTACAAACCAACCCTGTCTGTTAGACCCATTATTGCTTCAATTGATTTTCCCACTGAAAAACTTGCTTCATTTCTAACAGACATCTTAACTAAAGCTTATGAATTTGACAACCAATATTTTATTAAAGATTCTTTTGATGTTTTCTCTACATTCAATAAAATGAAACTACCTAACAATTATGTGATTGCTAGCTCAGATGTGGTATCTCTTTTTAGCAATGTCTATTTAGACACTTGTCTCAGATCTATTGATAGAAAGTGGGGACGTATTAGTCAATTTTGTGACATTCAAAAAGACGATTTCCTCCAACTTATAACTTTCCTTTTTAATAATACATATTTTTCATTTGATGGTAAAATTTACAAACAAGCTTTTGGTACTCCAATGGGAGCTAAGTAGCCTCATTTTAGCAGCATATGTCATGGATGACCTGCTAGATTTGAGTCTTCCTCAAGATGGAATATCTGGGATTGTGGACATCTTCAATAGTTATGACCCTTACATACAGTTCACCATGGAAACTGAGAACAACAAACAATGGGTTCCTTTCCTTGACACTAAGGTTATCAGAACACCAGATAATACTCTACTCATAGATTGGTATCGTAAGCCTATCAGTTATGGAAGGTTCTTGAACTATTGGTCATACCACAAGCAGTCAAAGAAAATTAATTTGGTCAAGCAAATAAAGAACCGCCTTCTGCAGAATTCCGATCCTTCTTTTCATAACAAAAATATAAATATACTTTTTCAATTATTTATCAATAACTCTTACCCAGATCCTCTAGATTTTATTTAGTATGTCAACCATCGACGTTCAAATCAACAATAACAACCATTTGGATATAAATCCTTTACAGTCTGACAATGTCACAATTGGGACTGATCCACCTCCAGTTCCTATACTTTTCTCTTCTTTACCATACATAAGTGATATACGACACCTAAGTTATGTAGAATTTTCAAAGATTTAAATGTAAAAATAGCTTTCAGGACCATATTCACCATTAATAAATTATTTTCGAAACATAAAAATAAAACTCCTATTATTAACTTTCAATCTCAATTAACCTATTAACGCCTAGCGTTACCATATGGAAGTGCTTCTCAAAGTGTGCGTAGCAGCGCCCTGGGGCGCCGTGGAACCTTTACTGGGGCGCCGTGGGCCACGGGTGAGTTTCAAGGTACAACGTTTTACAACGTAGATAACTGAGAGTAAAGGTAATACGTCGGTACCTATTATTAAAAATCCTCTTTGAGAAAAAACCGAAAGGTACTATCGAATCTATTCTTGATAACGGAAATGGGATTCCATATGTTCGCTGGGCTCATAATGGAGCTGTCACTCTGGCTTCAACATGTTTTGGAGTACAACCAATGGGATATTCAAGTGCCGAGAAAAAAGTCGTTCAAGTGTCTCGGCCATTTGTGATTGGAACTTATAATTCTTATATGGGTGGCGTTGACCTTATGGATGAGAATATATCAAGATACCGCATTAGGATGAGGGGTAAAAAGTGGTGGTGGAGCATATTTACGTGGCTAATGGATGCCTGTTTGCAGAATGCTTGGCAACTCCACAAGAAATCTGGAGGGACTCTTCCGCAACTGGAGTTTAGAAGGGAAATTTCGAAATTTTATTTCAACTCTTTCGGAGTTCCACCAAAAGGTCCTGGTAAAGTTTCCACATGTTCAAGCTCAGTTTCCTTGAACAGGGTATCTGATGATATGCGTTATGATAAAAGGGATCATTTGGTTTTTCGAGTTCCCCGAAACAAACGGCAACGTTGTGCCGGAGAGGGCTGTTTCGCAGTGGGTAGAACAATGTGCAAAAAATGCGAAGTTTGTGTTTGTATCGATTGTTTTTCTATATTTCATAAGAAGTAGATGTTAGGCTAAAATAACAGTTTTTGTTTTTTACTTAAAAGAAATGGCACTTGATAATTGTTCGTATTTTTTCATGAAGTGTTATAAATAGGCAGTTAAACCGTCTAGTGTTACCATATGGTCACATTTAATTTTGGCTACAGTAATAAAAATAAAAATTGCTGTCAATCCTTACATTGCATCCTAAAAACCTAAAAAATAATCATGTAATACTTTTCTACCAAAAAAAATTAACCAGGCGTTAATGGGTTAATCTATTCCATTTCATGTTTAAATTGTGGTAGGGAATATATTGGTCAAATGTCAAAATTACTCAAAGACAGAATCAGTTCACATGAAAGTGGTAGTAGATTACAAACTGAAAGATGAGCTCTCAGTAATCATGTCTCCAAAGAAGGTCATAAAATGGACTACAATTCAACTAAAATTTTATCAACTGAAAGAAATACATCTGAAAGACTGTTTTTGGAAATGTCATTTATATTACAATCAAATAATTGTCTTAATAAAAGATCAGAAATTGATCACCTCAGTGAAATCCATGCCTTTCTATTAGACATTGACAAAAATCTACGCGATTTCCAAACCAATAATAATTCTGGTTTTTCATTAATATAAATCATAACATTTTAAATATTTTCTTTTTTGAACAAATTTACAACCTCCCTATGGCAGGGTTTTACTTTCATTTAACAACACCTCTTCACTTGTTTTCCTCAAGACTAATTAGGGTGTTGTCAATTAATTAACATATTTGATTTTGGGTTTTCTCATTGAGTTACTTATAAAACAGCAGATGTCTCTGATCACACTTGCACCATAATTGTTCTCTTTTGTTCCATAGTTTTATCATCGACAAACTAACAGACTTTTTCAAAGTGAATTACATTATAACTGTCATTGTCAATTGTTTTTTGTATCTCTCTTTGTTCTTCAACGACATGGCTTTTACCAGTAAACCATAATTTTTAAAACAAATAACTTGATTACTGCATTGAAATGTTTCAATTGTTCAAATGTAAAATTCGTTTCGACACGGCCAACCTCACCAACAGTAAGTTTGAGACCTTTCATAATAATTTTATATTGTGTCACCATCATACACATACACATTGTAGCTTTTCCTTGAAGATGATAATAAATTTTATCGAAATATTGAAATAACTTGTGTTATAAGAGTACACTT